CCCGCGAATAGCCGCAAAATCATTCCCCTAGTACAGAAATTCGTAGAATGAAAATAGATACACCTCTTTTCAAGAGCTTAATAACTTTCTAAAGCTAACTTTTCGGAGAGTTATTATATTTGGCCATGCTCCCAATTTCGGGAGATGAGAAAGAAAGGAAAGAGCGGGAGGGGGAGCCTTAAGAGTTCAATGTTATCCCTAAATGTTGCCACTTAATGTTACCACATGTTACCACTTAATGTTAACACTTTACCACTAAAGCTCGAAAGTCGTTAATGTGCACATTACCTAACTAATATATAGATTAAACTGATTTGCTCCTTTAAAGTGCAGAATGAAGAGTTTTTCACGTTTTACCCAGATACTGTGCACACTAACGGCCTCCGCATCGTTAAAGCTCAAAAGTTTCTCTCATATCCTTTCCGTCTCCCTCCACTTTGCACATTACCTACTAGGCATTCGCAAATCTGCACCTTGCCTACTAGGCGCTCGTTAAACTCAAAATAAGATCTTTGCTGGAACGACAGCAACATTTTTGTACGCTTAAATTGACAGTATGTTATTTACTAATTCAGAAGTCAAACAACAAAAACCAGCGTTGTTTGACTTCTGAATTAGTATTTATTCGGCGTGTTATTGTGTCTTAAGTATGTTATTTATTTATTTTTCAATATGTAACAAAAATCAAGTTAATACAATCAAACCAATGGCCTAGAAGGCAGTGTGCAGACTGTCTAGGTAATTTTCAGATTACCTAGGTAATTTGAGAAATGAAAAAATTTTCCGCACTTTAACGAATCAAACTAGTTACTCTGCAGATTAGCTAGATTACTGCAGAATAACTGATTTCCCCACTTTAGCGGTAACACATATATAATTTCCTGATTGCCAATTACTTAATGCCTGACTATTTGCTTCAACTGCTAATTAATGCCATATTTGTTTCAAAATATTTTTGCGATAAAATAACTGCAGCTACTTTGTAGGGTTTATATTTATTTTAACTAACATTTATTTTAAGTTTAAACTATCTTTTCCTGTCAAGCCTTACTTTCCCCTGGAATTGCCAATGCCAGAGTATGTAAATTTTAGTAGAACGCGCAAGGATTCAAATTATCAGCGGAAGTATTCTGAGTTAAATAGAAAGGAAACGAGTTCGAAAGGGTGCTTTTCTTACTTCACGAGCGTGGAGGTGGCTAGTTAGAAATCGAAGAACCACGCGTTTCGGCCTGTGTGCTTGCCTCGGCAGTTTGTTAATCTTTCAACGTAATATTCAGAAGTTTGCTAAAGTATCAGAGGTATTTTAGAACGCGGTCAGGTTAGTTACGTTTAGAGAGCCTCGTAGTTAGTCACTTGTTACTATTCTTTTCTTAGTTTCTTATTTTTATTTTACCGCCGGGTCGGCGTAGTTTGTGAGCGTCAAGAGCACGCATTTGTAAGTTGAATAAAAAGGGATTTAAACCCTTCTCAAGACTTTGGGTCTATTTCCAGTTCTCAGCAGTCACCACTTTGTTGCGTGCAAGTTGGAAGCGCGCAACTTTACAACTTATAACAAGCATATATTGCAGAACAACGTATATTCGTTGTAACTCAATCACACAAACTCCATTTCACGGACTGATTTCGAAGCTAGTATTCAGCAGGGTGGCCATAGCGCAGCTCCTGTGGAAATAAAGTATATGTATGAAATGTGTTAAACTAAAACTTCTCACTGTCTAAATAAAAGTAATGGATTTATTTCATTTCTTTTTACAAAGATATTAGCAAACTTAAACGGATCAATGTCCAAACGTAGTTATTTTATTTCTTGTTAGTTAAGAAACATAATAATGTTATTCAAAAACATAAAATCATAAAAAAGGAATAAAATGAAAATATTGTAGTGATTCTATCAAACAATTTTGTAAAGAAAATCTTAAAAAATTAAATGTGGATGCTTTACGAATAAACCGATGGATGCTTGTGGATGCTTTACGAATAAACGGATGGATGCTTGTGGATGCTTTACGAATAAACAGATGGATGCTTTACGAATAAACAGATGGATGCTTTACGAATAAATGGATGGATGCTTTACGAATAAACAGATGGATGCTTTACGAATAAGCAGATGGATGCTTTGCAAGAAGAGTCTGCCGAATTCCTAAATCATTAGTAGCGGTAAAAACTAAGTTGGGGTGGAGCGAAACAAAAAATGCAGTTAATGCATCAAAAACACGAAATATCACTTGGAAATCTGTTACAGATTAAAATTAGTTTAGAAGTTGATTCGACGACCGAATTGATGAGAAATTCATGCAGTTGGAAACTTCGGGAATTTTTAACAAATCTGATGATAATCACAACTTAAAAGATTATGCTACTATTAGAAAATTTCGAAAATCTGAATTTGAGGATAACAGATATACGGCGCTCATATAAGAAAATTTCTTGACAATATTTGAGCTGGCAGTAAAAGGATTTGAGTCGCTACGGCCCAGATTTAAGAAGAATCCGTCGTCCCGCGAGTATCATAAAGTCGTAACATATAAACACTCACAAGAAGAAATCGGGGAAGAATCGGAGTATTTAAAAAATGGAAAAGGGAAATTTTTATCGCACAAGCTCTAATTACAGAAAGCAAAGACACCACGCAACTTCTTTTGTCTTCGACGTATCGTCACACTTTTAAAATGATGTAAAAAGGGGTTTTGGAAAATCTAGTTGCGGCTGTCGAACCTTCCTGAATTTCAACTCTTACTGACATGAAGGCCACTAATGACATAGATCCACAGTCTATTCCACATTCCTAGGCAAACACAACAAGTTAGAGCCCTTTTTACCACATCAAGCTGTAAGAAAACAGACACCACAAAAATTTGTGTTATCTTCGACGCATAATCATGTGCTGAAGACAAATTGTCATTAAATGGTTGAGTAGAATCATACATTTCATTCCATCTGAAATCTATTTCACTACTTTTAAAATGATGTAAATATGATTGCGGCTCTCACTAACATGAAGTTTGGGGCCCCCTTCTGGGTCAGGGCTCATGTAGTAAGAAAGGACAAACTTGTCGCCAGCGGGCCGCATCTGCCCTCGAACAATTTTACACGGCCCGCGAATACATATCCCGCAGATTAATTGACATTATTATTACATTAATTATTATGACAAGAATTTGAAAAATGGTCTAAGCTTTTAATGATTTTGAGTCCAATTTTTCATTATTTTCATTTTTATTAAAAACGAACATGAGTAACGCTCCAGAAAAGCTACAAATGGAGCTAATTAATTTGCACACAAATAAAACAAAAATTTAAATCTTATTCAAAGCTAAGATATGTATCTTATTCAAATATTTAGAATTACAGATTTGAATAACATTTTTTGGTAGTTTTCAAAAGATAAATATACCCCTCGATTATGAATTTTTTCTGCAAGAATAACCGCTTTGTATGGGAATATATATTTATATGTGAGCAGTTTTTCCGATGTTAAAACTTGTCGTAAAAAAGAACCAGACTGACCGATTAGCTTCTGCAATTCGTGTTAAAGGTGTAGTTTCTATTCATTTTTCTTCAAGGTTACAAACTTTATCAAAATCGAAACGCCATGAGATGTTGTGACTGAAAATTGTTGTAAGAAACAAAAATATTTGTAATTAATTATTTACGGTAAAATATATGCGTCTTTCTTTCTTTCTTTCTTTTCTTTTTTTTTCTTTTTTTTTCTTTTTTTTTTTTTCTTTTTTTTTTTGTATGCTTTAATTTTTAGCAAATAAAAAATGAGAATACGTTGTCGTTATTTATTCTCGATTTTTGTTTCACTTGGAGAGTTTCCTATTTGTAGTTTAAGTAAATTAGTTAGTAGTTAATTGAACATTTTAGAATTATTTGAAATAAATGATTGTCTCTTAGAATTTAATATTTAGCTATCAAGACGTTTGAATTACCAAGCGTAACCAAGAGAAATGTTTTGCAGGTACTATTTATTTTCTGGTTTAGACCTGCAAAAATGTATGTAATTCTGTAATCCAGACGTATCAGTAGCTAAACATTTAAATTTTTAGAATGATATTTATTTCAAATAATTCTGATGTGTTAAATTAACCACTATAAATAACTTACTTAAAATAAATAAATGGCAGAACTTTCGAATTGGAACAAAACTTGAGAATAAATAATGACAAGCTATTATCTGTGTTTTATTTATTAAGTTTTTCTTTGATGCATACAGAAAACATACAAATATTTTTATGTAAATAATTATAAACTTCTTTATTTCTTCTTAGAGATTCCAGCTACATCTTTGATGTTTCGATTTCAATAAAGTTTGTAACCCTAGAAGAAAATTATTAGAAACTATCTTTATCGCGAATTACTGATCATGGAATCAGCCTAGTTCTTTTTTCTTAAACTAACTAATTTTTAATTATTATCATAGAACTCCTATTTGAGGGTATTTATCTTTTGACAAGTATGGAGAAAGGTTAATCAGATCTGTATCTTCAAATCTATGCCACAATGTAAATTATTTAGCTCTATTTGTAGATTTTCCGGGCCGTTACTCAATATCCTTATTAACGATAATGAAAATGATGTAAATCTGGAATCCAAATCATTATAATCTTAAATCTCTTGGTTATTCAAATTCTTGCTATAATAAATGCCATAATAATAATAATGACATAATATAGGATTCCTCGTAGTATTAAATGTTTTGAGATTGTTAAGTGGCTGTTCCAGTCACTTATTTGAGCGTAATGAATTTATTTTGTAAACTTCGGTTTATAACCTGTACTGTCATTTCGCAAATCCGCCAGCAAACCGTTCTGTTTGGGCGCAAGTGATTCGAGATTTTTGCCTCTGTTTTTAACAAAAAGATAATTTTAAAGTCTTTTTTTATTAAAAATATGAAATCTTGTTTTTCCTTCAAATTTTTTTATAAAAACCTTTAATAGTTTTAATGCATTAGTTCTTGGATTTAAATGACAGATTCGTGCAATTTTTGCTTTTAGGTTCTTTGTTGGAGAGATGTCCCAGTAGAAAGTTCAATCCTGGGATTTGTCGCCAAATCTACTGAACCCCTTATGAGGCAGGTTTTCGTCGTAGGACCTTCTATGGACCCAGATACATTCCGCAGAGAAGTAAGTATTGATTTACTTACCTTCTTCTCTTTAATACATTTAAGATTATATGTATATATATATATATATATATGTGTGTGTGTGTGTGTGTGTGTGTATAAGATAAAAAATATGAAAGCGAACTTCTAAATTTAATTCACTATAACCTCTTTTGTTTTTTATTTCATTTGGGAACTTCATCTCTCTGTCCTAAAAATAGCTCTGTAAGTCTAAAACTGCGTCATTTAAATTAATCATGCGATCTTACGTAACGTTTACTGCAGATATCTCTTGCCCAATCAAAGTAAATTGTAAACCAAAACTTAAAACTGGAACTCTTTTTACTCCCTCCCTTCTTCCTCTGAAGTACTGCCAAAGAACTTTCTTTGGTACTGCGACACACTCTCTCTTTTTCGCTTAAGCATTCTTCCTGTTAAGACGCTGCTGTAATCATCTATATTCGCCTATAGTATCAAAATTGTTCTGGAAATAGGCACGATTGGAGTGCCAGTTGAATTGTGGCCACAAATCTGAATTTAAATGAATATGGAATTTAATTCCGGCTCGACTGTTTAGTTTTCTTCAAAACGGATGGACGCTCTATGGAAATAGGCACCATTGGAGTGCCAGATGAATTGTGGCCACAGATCTGAATTTAAATAAATATGAAATTTAAGGTAAAATTCTAGTATACGGTGCAGCCTTGGCGCGATTTTGAAAATTATCACCAACACCAAAATGACCCGTTTAACTACTCATCGTATATGTCCCGTTTATTGCTTATCATAAATTCGCCAAAAGTAGCCAAATCTCTTGTGCATCGGATACTAGGATTAAACCGAATTTAATTCCGGCTCGATTGTCTATTTTTCTTCAAAACCGATGGACGCTCTAAGCACCAAGTGTCTGTGCTATCAGTATTTCTACGTTTCCACATTTCGGTGTTCTTACATCAATGCTTTCAAAATTGTGCTAATATTACATTTATTAGTTATGCAGGATTGGACTATGCTACTAACCTCAATGGAGCATTTATTCCTCAGTTGGATTTCTGTAAAATAGTATCTACATATTTACCATTCTAAAAGATATCGTCCACTATTCAAATACTGGTGTGTTATTATTACATATATTAATGACTCAACGGTGTAGATGACTTGTTGATTCCCAAACTTAGCACACAGACTGACAGAGCCGTGTAGATAGGTTTGCAGACAAACGTGGCCGAATTCAACATTATTTTATTATTGGATAAAGCATTTTTGGAGACACATTATTTGCTTCACGCAGAATTATAGGTACAATTTTAAAACTCAGCCATCTCTAAACAGTGGACAATACAGCGGCGCGTAGAAGCTAGTGTAGGAAAGAGAAAGCGTAGTTGGATCACAGCGATATTTATAGTAAATATTTTCTTTGACTAAGAACTAACTATACGCAATGCAGAAGTTAAAGATGACATAATGCGGAATTTATTTTCAGATATATGATACAGTTTCGAAAAAGCTTTGACTAGTCTTAGAATAGACAGGGCGTCCTCGTCACCAGCACAGCCCTCGTATGTTCTGTACTTGTAATTAATTTATTTAAGCTTAAGTTAGCTTTTTTTTTTTTTTTTTTTTTTTTTTCATTGAACTGTAAACCTTGACTTATGTATTTTGCCTTATTTTATGTACTATTTTCACTCTTTTGCTTTATTATTATTATTAGCCCATAAGGGCTATTAATTTCTTTTTGGCATTTTGCGTCGATTCACTATAAACGGCGAATCACTTTTCAAATTGTTGCCACCAAATATTGTCACCTTGTGTTATATGTAAAAGAATTTAATGAAGAATCTGCATAAATGTATGTATGTTTTTCGCATTGTGACAAAACAACGGTATCTAAAGCAATCAAATTTTAAATAACGTATTCTTCCACCGAATGTGAGCATCTAGAAGCCCTAATTTGGAATTTGTTTTATTATCGATTTCTTATTTTGTAACACTTTAACGAATTTCTGATTAACATTCGACGATTTCAAAGCGAGCAATGGCAACACTGTACGAAAAAAAAAATTTTTATCTCCAGTGCGTGAGATTGTGTAACAGAAATTCTAAAGTTATACTTATTTTAAAATTATTTTGCGATATTGCTGTTGAATTGAATTTTGTGGTTTAAAGGCAAAGAGCATGAAATTTAATAAATAAAGGTAACACACGGAACCTTAAAAAATGTCCCTCTGGGCATAATGTAAAATCTGAAAACTTCCAATTTATTATTATTATTATTATTATTATTATTATTATTATGTATTATTTTACTAGTATTGCTATTTAGTATTTTGCCTTACTTTAGATATTATTTTCACTGTATTATCAGTTAGTATGTTAATTGTATTGTACTCGTTTATTGTTCACGTTGTGGATGCCTATTGTAACCACCTATCCATAACTGTGTAAATTGTGTAACTAGAAATTGTTCTCCTCACCCGCAATGCACCCTTCTTCCATTACTGCACTATCGTCTCGCCAGCATTTCTTTGCGCCGCCCCCAGCACTCATCTTGAGCACAATATGCACCAAAGTGTGTTATGTGGAGCAAGTTAGTTCCGTCAGCGGGGCTATCTGGCCGATATGCTAACTGCCCCAGTGGATAGGCTGTCGCTAGAAAGTAAGAAAGTATATTTAAGGATCATTTTTGATTTGCACACTTATCATCATCATTTCACCCCTGACTTTCGAGTTAGACGGACGCTTTTATATTTAAGGATCATTTTTGATTTGCACACTTATCATCATCAGTTCACCCCTGACTTTCGAGTTAGACGGACGCTTTTCTCCTCACTGCTGAAAGAACGACCTTGGGCGTGATTCTGAGTTCAACTCGGAGCGTGAAGGAGCTTCAGCCCCCCCGCTCTGATTTTCCCTGCACTTGATTTTGCGTACTTCCTTTTGCTGTTAGGGGCTAATAGTAGGTTGGTGCTTTGGCCCCGGCTACGAGCACCGTAAAAAGGCCTAGCGAACCTAACAGCACGGCCACGTGTCTGTTGTTTCTACGACCTCTGCTCTTTACCTATTGAACAATGATTGAAAAGCTCTTTGACTTTCTCGGAGTGCTAATCATGGAGTACGAAGTGAGACCTGATGACAAGCCACTCACTGATAAGGAGAGTATGGAACTATGAGTACTTCGCGCGGTTTCAGAGCCACACTCCACAAAATGACTCTCCAAGGATCTGAAAACACTGACGTTAAGGAAAATATACCTGCTAGGAACCAACCGAAACCTGGACAATCTATGACAAACTTGGCTGCGGAATCTATGATAGTGCATAAAACGCGGACTAGCAGTAAACGCCCGCTCAGTCCCACCATTGAATTCAATATTCCAGTCGCTAACAGAATTTCCTTTGCTGAAGAAGGAACTCCACTGGACATGGACAGTTCGGATGATGGAAATTACACAGAAATTAAGAAGTCTGTCCGGAAAACTAGGCGAACGCACGGGAAACGCCGTACTCGAGTACAAACCCAAAAGGTAAAGAAAAATCTGTGAATCCTGTTCCTCAGGAAGAGAAACTTCTGAATCCTGCCGCTCAAGAAGAAGAAACACGCGATTCGTCTGCCGTGATCGACACTGCCTTTCATCAACCAATCAGTGTGGATGGCCCTAACACTCGAACACACGAGGTTGCTGCCAGTAGTTATGATAATGTGGCACCATCTATTGGGCTACTGAAAAGTCAGCTCACGCGAGTATGTCTTTGGCAGAAAACGTAGCTCGGCCAATCAACATTTTGGATGAGGTCACGTGCCCGGCTGGACCAATGGATAGTGATGCTCATGAAACTCAGACTGGAGCAACCCGAACTGAGGGTCAGTTCACTTTCCCGCACAGGACGGCGAAAATGCCGCCGATTTGCATTCGAGAATGCAAGTACAACTGTAAATCTTTCACTGAACTACTTGAAAAGGAACAACTGGCCGATTTCACCGCGAAAAAGAAAGGTGAAGGCAACTATGAGATACACACAAAAAATTCAGACACCTTCCGAAACATGACTGCTCTTTTCGACAAAAAAGAACTTTCTTATCATTCGATCCTTCTCCCTGAGGAGAAGAACCTCAAAGTTGTGATAAGAAATCTTCCCATTGATGCGAAACCCACGGACATTCAAGAGAAGCTCCCTGAAAAAGATTTCACTGCGCTCAAAGGGGAGCAACTGATGTAGGTCAGAGGAAAAGATAGAGATAAAATGTCCCTATTTCTGGTCACTCTCCCTAAGAACCCCAGAAACAATGAGATATACCATCTAAAATATCTAATGTACTTGCACATTAAAGTCGAAAGATATCGTGGTTGGCGCCGGTCGACACAATGCTTTCGTTGTCAAAGATACCATCATGCGCAGGCGGCGTGTCACCACCCGCCTCGCTGCTGTAAGTGTGCAGGCCCTCATGAAAGCCGGGATTGCCCGGAACCTAAAGATTCTGAGCCGAAATGTTGTAACTGTCTCGGGAAGCATACCAGCAACTGGAGGGGTTGTGAGGCCTTCCCAAAGCAGAAACCCAATGCCCCCAAGTTTGATGAAAGGGTCATTGTCAATAAATCCTACGCCCAGGCTGTTCAATCTGATATTTTTCGCTGGGAAAATTCAGAAAGCTGTAGCGGACGCTCAGCAGGTCATGAAGAACCTCGCTGATCTTATAGCGCTTCTACACAATACAACTGCCATGGCAGAAAAGCAAACTACAGTGAGGCCCGATACTAAGATAAATTATGGATCGTAGGTCCTTAGTAAAAATGACCCCAGTGACGATCATGACATGGAATGCGCAGAACATTATCACCAAAATTAGCGAACTGCAGGACTTTCTCACACACTACAACATCGACATTGCACTAATCACTGAGACACACGCTACGCCAGCGCACTCCCTGAGTATTGCTAACTATCGCAGTTATCGCTGTGATAGGATCAGACATAGAGGCGGAGGTGCCGTAATCTATGTTAAGCGGAGTTTGGATTCCTGCTTCTACGCTTCTGACAATTCTCACGGGTTTGAAGAAGTTAGGATAGTCGTTCGGATCCCTAATTGGGGAAATATGCTTGTATGCGCCCTTTACAACACTCCAGATCTCAGGCTGCAAGATCAACACTTACAGAATTTGCTAAATAACCCCTTTCCCACCATAATCGGAGGTGATCTTAATGCTAAACATGTTAGCTGGGGGTGCCGCAAAACAAATAAAAACGGTGATATCCTTCAAAACTTCCTGTTCAATTACCCATACTACATTTACCCTCCAGAAGATTTTACTTTCCGGCCTACTCACCCAAGACAGTATCCAGACATACTGGATCTTTTCCTCGCATCTGATAACTTACCGATCACTACGGAAGTAATCAATGACCTTTCTTCAGATCACGTGCCAGTTCTGACACACCTGGGTATTAGCAGGCCTGAAGCCAACACCACTTACAAAATTACTGATTGGGACAAATTCAAATCTGAAATTAACAATCACCTCCCCAAAACAGAGCAACTTAAAAATACCCATGATATCGACCAGGCTCTCACAAGCATCACCACCTGCATGGCATTGCAAAATTCTACTACAGAAATTATTAATAAAAAACATCACTTCAAACTTCCGCAAGAAATTAATTAGCCAAACACGAAATAGACTCCGAAAGATCTTCGCCCAGTCACGTGACCCAGCAATTAAATCGCAAATTAATAAACTTAATCGCAATATTAAAAGGTTAATTGACTACCACCAGACTAAACTTTGGAATAACAAAATTGAAAAATTAAATGCGGAAGACGGAGAATTCTGGAAGTCCCTCCGTTTAATGAAGTCGACAAAAACAAGCAACAAACCTCCACAGGACGACACTGGATTCAAATACAGCAACGAAGACAAAGCTAAAGCCTTTGCCACCCACTTCGCCAAGCAGTTCACTCCAAATGAGACCCCTTCAGACCGAAATTTCATTAATCACATTAACATGTTTGTCGATAATTGGATTAACCAGCCCAGTGTCAAAAATCTCCCTGTTTTTACCTCTCCCACAGAAGTTAGCTCTATTATAGCTAAACTTCATAATAGAAAAGCACCTGGGAAGGACAAAATCTCTAATTCAATGATTAAACATCTGCCTGGTAATTTCATTAACAAACTCTGTAGCATTTACAACGCCTGCCTGTACCTATGCTATTTCCCAGCTGAGTGGAAACAAGCGGTTGTCATCTTAATTCCCAAACCCGGAAAAGATAATACAAGAGTGGATGGGTTTCGCCCAATCAGCTTGCTTCCTGCACTGGGAAAGATCCTAGAGAGAATTATCTGCAGAAGACTACAGCCAGCCCTAAACGCGCTTCCAAACCAGCAGTTTGGTTTCCGTAAAGGGTTGTCTACCACAATGCAGCTTGTCAGAATCGTTGAATTTTTAAGCGCAGCTATTCATAAGCACCAGACAACTGCTTTCCTTATGCTGGACGTGGCAAAAGCCTTTGACCGCGTCTGGCATAACGGACTTATCTACAAGCTTGCTTCCCTTGATCTCTCCAGGGAAACGATTTTGATTCTTCACTCCTTTCTAAGTGATCGATCCTTCTATGTCAGGCAGGGCGATGTTTATTCTGAAAACACATTAATTAAAGCCGGCGTCCCCCAGGGAAGCATCCTTGGGCCTATTCTCTATCTTATATATGTTAAGGACTTCCCTATTGAAAATACAAACTGCATCACCGCCTGCTACGCG